AATATAATACATTTTACAAACTATGGAAACAATTAACACCATACATTAAATTCCAAACACCTGGAACTGATCTTTGTGATACTTGTGAAGCATTTGAAAGAGATATAAGATTTACAAATGATGATTATGAAAAAGAAAATCTTAAATTCGAATACAAAAATCACAAAACAGATGCAGAACAGGAAAGAAGCCATTATACCAACATAATTGAAAAAAGCAAAAATGATTCAACAGTAACACACATTTGTTATGATTGGCCCAAAGTGTTGCAGCTCCATTTTCATCTCAGCAGGTTGGATCAATTTATTTTAGTGTTCCATGTCACAATCCAAAAAAGGAAACCAAAGTGGTCACAAAGTGGTTGCAACCATCACCAAGAATTGCGACCAGCATCTATAATTATTTCAAATCCCCTTTCATCATACACCTTTTTGGTGTATGTAAGACAGATGACAGAAAAAATAATCAGTTAAATTATACTATAGGAGAAGATGAATTACCAGAAGGAAAATCAAAAAAGGAGCCAACACAACTTTGAATATGGTTTTTGATTTTCTCCTAAAGAATCATCATGTTGATAAAAAAGATCTTTATGTCACATGCGATAATTGTCCTGGACAAAATAAATACAATTTGTCTCTTTAGTTTTGGTCATGGTTAACAATGTTGGGTTGGTATGAGAATATTTATATAAATTTTATGATACATAAAATTTATTTGTGATGCTAAATTTGGATCTATTAAAAAAGCATACAAGACCAGTCATATAAATACTGTTGATGATGTTGAGATGGTTATAAACAAATCATCTACAGTCAGCGCTCGATATAGTGAAGTTTTGGCTAGTACAAATTTGGAAACTATCTGCGTTAATATCCAATCAAATTCAATTTTTCAGAAGATAGTTTCCAAATTTGTACTAGCCAAAACTTCACTATATCGAGCGCCGACTGTATACATAATAAATCTATTAGATATGATAATGGGATAGGTTGGAAATGGAAAGACTTTAATTCCATGTTAAAAGATCATTTTAGAACTTTACCAAATATAAAAAAGAACCATCATTTTTGCTTTAGTATTTTGACAGCTGATATTAGAAAAGTTCACTTTTCAAAAAAATCTCAAGAATATTCTAAAATATGGGGTTGTATATAGATCAATTTTAATCTGATCACCCATTTTTTTAAATAATCATAACCTGATTTTTTCACCAGTTATAATCCTTGTAATATATTATGCAAAAATTAAGAAAGCACTCAAGCTACCTTTTGCTAGAAAACCCCATATAAGAAATCATTTGGGTAGTAGTTGTGAGGTCATTATCATCATTATTGAGCCTGAATTTGATAATAAATAATTTGAGATCACCATTGAACTTGAAAAAGAAATAATTTGATTTAGATTTTGATGTCACCATTGAGCTTGATTGGCAACCTTCATGATCACCATTAAAGCTCTGCATGAGCTGGCTCACAAACCGAATAAGTCATTCACATTGATTGAACTTGAAAACATATAAGTAATAATAGACTGGCAGTTCGCTGAGCTTGAATGTAATTAAGAAATGATTAATTTAGTAATTTGAGGCTTGAAAATATTCAACTGGCAGTTTTCCAGCTATCATTGAACTTGAAATGTAATTGAGAAGTAGTTGATCAGTGATTTGAAGTCACCATTGAACTTGATATCCACATCAAGGAATTTTCCTTCATATATAACCGCATAGGCTCATCCTATTTCCATTTGAAACAAGAGGATGATCTCTTTTGCTTACGTTATCATTTCTTTGATTAAATAATAAAATCTGATTTATTTTATACATGATTATTTTTACATAAATAATTTAAATTACATCTTTGCAATTCTCACGTTCACATTTCCGTTTCCATTTCATCTTTTTCTTTTTTCAATTCTTTGCAACTGATAGTTAATCTTAATCTTGCAGTTTCTGGTGAAACGCCATTATTATTATTATTACTATTATTATTATTATTACTATTACTATATATATTATAAAG